CCCCCCCCCTTCCCCCCCGTCACCGCCTCCCGCGCTATCGTACTCCGGCCCGTCGTGCTGACCTTCCCGCCCGTGGGTGGGAGAGAGACTTCGCCACCCTTCTTTCCGAAGGAAATCGGCGAACTTTCCTTCAAGACGCAGGCCGAAAAACTCTAGGAACTCCTCCTGCGCGAGGGGGAGATGATGAAAGACGCGGTGCAAAAGGGGCGTTGTAAACTTATGGCTGATATTTTCCAAGCTTTGTACTTTTCAAAAACAAAGGCATTCATCGAAAATTTTAGGAGTATTTCCAAAAATTTGGAAGGACCCAGGAAAGTTGGAACGGTAGCTTCCAAATATTTGGAAAGTTTGCATTCTATTTGCCTTCGAACACACATCGCAAAGTTCTATTTCTTGGAAACAATAAAAACTGTGGGAAAAAACGCTCAGTTTTAAACGCCCGTAAAGACGCGGCGTACACGGGGCGAGGGCTACATGTAGACTATCAAAGACCCTGGGTTAGGAGGTACGCCTGTGCCAAAGCTATATGCACACACGGAGTCGCCCTGCTGGCACCACCAAGAACTGCAATAGCCGTCGCTCTTGGGCCTTGTGTTTTCACCAGGGCCACGGCCGTGCGTCACGGCGACGACGACACCCGACCAACAGGAGGCCATCACAAAACACCAATGACCGAACCCTAGAAAATAAAGAAAACGGCGAGGGCATTCGGTGGCCGACTTCCGTGGTGAGGAGGCTACCACCCACTTCAAAATGGACGTGTGTCGAGGGCATGGTTGTTCCAGTCTGCTTCGGTAGGACACATTTTGATGTTCGGTATACTACATGCCGCTTGTGAAAGGGGCCGCCGGCTGTCTTCAGCACCGTGGTTTGTCGATATCCAAAGGACGTCCACCGAAAAAAACACGAAAAAAAGTCCTGAACTATCGAAAAAAAAACCCTGCGTGGCCTTTCCTCCTGCGTGACCCCGCGGCTGGTGCGCCCAGAAATTATTCCGAACGGTTTGAAGACCAATTATACCCAGCATAAACGGGATGACAACGAAATGAAAGAAAGGCAACGTATTCTACTAATAGAGTGGGCAAGACGAACGAACCTTGGATCGGTGTGCGTGAAGGCGGTACTTCTGTAGCCGGCTCTTGATGTGCTCTGTCGTCAGGCTGTTGGCCTTCGGGGGCATGAGCTTCATCAGCACCTGATTTTGATGGAACAAAATCGTCATCGCACAGCGGCAATAGCAGCAGCAGCAGCAGCAGCACCACCACCACCACCACCAAAACGGAGAAGGTTCCGCCCCACGATCAAAGGTAAGCGCGCCCAAGCTCAAGCTCCAAGACAAGGGGAACACAGTCGAGATGCATGCAGCGCACACGCCTGTTTCACGGGACATCACTTGGAGGCAAGGACGGATAGGAAGACAGACTTTTCCAAGCAGCAGCCGAAGAGACAAGGTGTGTTCAGGGTCTCTCCGCAGAAATATCCTCGCGAAGGCTACTACGATGTCTACGGAACCCCCCCCCCCCCCCCCCCCCCCCCCCCCCCCCCCCCCCCCCCCCCCCCCCCCCCCCCCCCCCCCCCCNGGACCCCCCCCCCCCCCCCCGGCCTGGAGACCCCAAAAATATAACCCTCGAGAAAAAAAAAACGCCTTCTTCAACCAAGGAGCGCCAGGAGTGAGGCTTGAAAGAAACACTCTAGCTCGAACAGTTCTCCGTCTCTCGACCAGCCCCGGCGACTCAAAACCCCTCAGCCGACAAAAAAATAAACCCCAGCCCGCTGTTTGGAAACGTTTTGGGGGGCATGTATCGCTTGCCTTGGGGGATGAGTGCTTGAGACCCAGCTCGAAGATAGCGGCGGTGAAAGAGGCACTCGCCTTGTCAGGGAGCTCCTTGGCCTGCCAGTTTCGTGCGTGCAAATAGAAAAAAAACGGTGGGCGGTTTCGTCGCGGGTCAGTATTTCTGAGTCCAATAAAATCGAATACTAGAGGTGTGTACCAATAAGAAGACACCGGATGTGTAATCGTGGTCAGTATGTCTGATTGTCTTCAAATTTGTTATTTAGACGTGTACCCTTCTTGTGTAGCTGTTGGTCTGTGACAACAGCAGGCATGAGTTGGACCGGTACGGATCAAGAGGTACCGAGCATAGACCGGAACGTTACAAATGCGAAAACTTTGTTGGTGCTGTCATGTTCCCTGAGCTTACGAAGTCGATTGCAGAAGCGTTGTTGTCCACGCATTAACGTGGAAGGGAAAAGTTCCTGCGAACCTCACATCCACGCCTGCGTAGGCGCTTTTCCTTGCTCAGCCGTCGCGCGAAAAAAAGGGCCGTCACCAAGGAGCAAGATTATTTTCGCGATTTTACAGAAAACCGCTTTTCACGGAGTCAACGACACTACAGCCCTACTGCGCATTGCGGTTGTCTGGGCGCCCTTAGCTTTGGGGTGGTCATCTTGCGTGCTGCACGGGCCATCGAAAGCGCTCAACGTACCAATACCACGTCTGCAAGCAAGACGCACGTCCAACACGTTGATGAATAGGGCTGTCGTACAGCCAAGCTTTCCATGACGGCAATGGAATGTCTGGGGGGAGCCTGCCGATCTGTCGGCGGCTCATTTCGTCCGGGTTGTAAGTGTCGACGACCTGATGGACACGGAATAGCTTGGGTGACAACGTCCAACAGGCTCAGAAGAGGGCGAGGCTTTCGACGCCCCTGAGCCTGTCAACGTGTCGGCCACGCTACTTCCGAGTACAAACAAGGTCATCGATAGAGACAGCCCAGACGAAATGGGCCGCGGAGAGATTGACGGGTTCCCCCCTACACATCACTGCCATGATGGATCGTATGGTAACTTTGGCTACCGGTTGTTAAATTGTCTCAATCACTGCATCTGTCCTTGGTGCATCACCCCCCACACCTGTCCCTAAGCTTATGAAATCGCTTGAAGCAGCGTTGTCCACGCAGAAGCATGGAAGACAACAACAAGTTCCGGCGCAGCACGACCAGACTTGTCTGCGGGTGCTGTATGAAGTGCATTCGCCGCAACCCTTGTGCACTTGATTCCTAGCCGGTGAAACGGTTTAATGACTCTTTCTCTCGAGGACCTGTTGAGGGACAGGTGTGGATACTTTTATCTACGAGTTCCTGCGATTGGTTGACTGGTGAAGGATCGTGGCCAACACGGCATGCGCAGCAAGCAGTCAATGACATCCGTTCTTCGGCGAGAAAGGGAACAACAGCCGTGTCTGGTGTGATGTTGGGCAGCAGTGTGGCGGTTAGCTGCGTAGTTGACGAGATGAATCTAACACCTACCGGAGTCGTCCGTGAACTTAACAACGAGTGGTGAAGTTGCAGAGCAAGCCCACCATCTCTATGAAGAGCTCCCGACATGTTGACACAACACCGTAGGTGACACAAGATACCACTCCCTGGATCGATTTTCAAAGCTCAGGTGCCAAGCGACGAAGAGGATATATGCATACCAATCAAACGATACGTTTTCAGGAATGCTCTAGACGAGGCGTCTCCGACGCGGCCATTTTCCGCACCGCCACTCATTCTACGCTGTGAAGAAATCGAGCTTTGAAAAATACATGGTACAACAGTGTAGTACTCGGGAGTATCTGCTACCTTGCATACGGTAGTAGAGTTCGGGAGTTTGGACGCCAACACCTCTAGAAGCAACTTCCCCCCCCCCCTCGTAGACGTTCACCATCAGCTTGTCGGTCNGGGACGATTTCGCTTTCGTAGCAGCGTCGACGTCATTCCCCTGCTCTTCCTCCTGCAGTGCCTCCGGCACCACCGGCTTGCAAGGCTTCGTCTTTTTGCCCTTGTCCTTGGACGATTTCGCCTTCTTAGCATCGACGACGTCCTTCTGCTCCTCCTCCTCCTCCTCCTCCTCCTCCTCCTCCTGCAGATTGCTCTTCCGCAGCAGCCAACACGGAGGAAGACTCTCGCTTTAGGAGGCCACCGTCGCCGCCGCCGCCGCCGCCGCCTGCCTGCCTCAGGGGCAAGTCTTCTTCAGCAGGGGGCGTGCGACCCAGGCCGCTGCGGTTGCTACTGTCTTGTGTGTGGCTAGCGGCAGCAGCGGTGCTTCCCGCTGCTGCTAATGATGCCGCCGGAGCTGGCACGGAGCTCAGGGCGGCTGCAGCAGCGGCGGCTGCTGCGGCTGCTGCGACAGAGGATCCATCCGGCCCCGTGCTCTGCTGGGAGAGCTGGTTATAGACTTCGCGGAGCTCCTGCAGACGCCGCCTGTCCATGATACACCTAGACAATGGTAAGTTCACAAAGAGCTACTGCTTCCTGAGAGGTCGCGTACGTGAGGGTTGAAGAGCTGCGGGGAGGTCGCCCTCGAGGTTACGATGTGAGACTGCGTGTCCTTTATCAAATACGGGACAGCTTCAACGACGGCGCTGCGGCGTGCGTATTTTCCATCTCCCGCTGAGTTGTTTGCCGCCTCTCCCTTTCGCGTGAGAGCTCGCATCAAGACACGACGTCCTCACCCGAGCCCTGAGCTTTAAGGTGGTCAGGTGCGGCATCAGCAGCAACAGAGAACCGGTTCTGGAAAACTCTCGGGAAGCGGCGCAATTAGACCAAACGGGAAAATATCGAATCTTGAAGATTCGGTGAAAAACCATCGACTGCTGTATGTACTACTCTGTATATAGCAGCTACAGCAGTGGTACAGTACGAAGTACTGTAGGTAAACCGCTTCTATGTAGTATACTATGCGTACAACCACTTCGTGCTGTACATGACATTCCAGAGCGACTTCACCCCCAAAGTCAGCAAAATATATCCCAGCTCGCACCCCCAAGAAATATTTGGGTCTCGCTTCCGCCGTGGTATCGCATGTTCGTGACGATACAATATGCAGCGGTCATGCCCGTGATTGCCGGGGTTTTGTTTGTGGAACAAATGCGACGATGACATTCTCTGGGAGCCAAGTGAACAACACAGCAGCACCCGCTGCATTGTGTTGTCGACTTGCTAAAAATGGTCTGCGGTATCTTTCCATCTTCCAGGCATGAAATAGAGACAAGGCGTTGCAGCAGAGGTGCACAGCAGCAGTATCACACTTGCTCGTCAACCAGATTCTGACGATTTTTCCCCCCACGGAACTAAAGATGTATTCATTGGTATCGCAGCTTGCTTCCGGCAAACATGCTGGTCCTCTAAAGGGTTTCCCTTTTTCTCCCAAGGTGGTTTAGAGAGCAGTCAAGATATGAAGATTCGCACAAGAAAAGTAGTGTGATGAGTATCTTGTTGCATCCGTACGACGACGGGTAGTTGGTAGGCAACCGGTTGTTTTCCCTCACATTACTAAACATTTATCCACACACCGTATGCACACATCCGTTCGTCCAACGCTTGCACGTCACGAGGGAACACTATCATCCGTCCGTGAAATACACCTTCGCTTCCCTGATCTCCACACTGCTACTACATAATTCCTTCCGCTAAGGTGCTTTCTACGGCACGTTTAGCAGCAGGTTACCCCGGCTGCGGCTGTATCGTTGCAGCCCCTGAATCCGGCATGTTTCACGCCAACGGCAAACACACGTGTGTAAGCAAACGACGGAGGGGGAGGGACAATGAACCTGAAACCGAGCACACGCCCCGCATGAAGTGGGAACTACTTGCCGCTCGTCGCTTGTACTTTCCGAATAATCACCGTCGCTCGCAGCTTCTGCATACCGTACGGCGTTTGTCCTCTCCACCCGAGCAGCTCTAGCATTTGCATGCACCCTTCTTCAGAAGAGGCGTTCGTATCGCTGCGTACGCATAGAAGCCGATTATTTTTACGTCGGCATTGACACGACAACTTATTGTAGAAAGATACCGGCAAACCTGCGGGAATTCGTCGATCGCGCGAGCAACACCGACGACACCTTCGACTCCGCATGGCTGGTACACACCACCACCGCCCTCTCGATAACAACAGCACACGCGACGAAACGGCAGGTATTCGGCCGGCCTTCCGTGCATGTGTACATGCAACAGCTTCATATATATAAAAAAAAAACTCAAAAATCAACGGTCGCAAAACCAACCGCGGTTCAATTCGTTAAGACCCAGATATCGACGGCATTTAGAACAAACATATCTGGGCACAACACCGCACCAGTAACCCTGACGAGGAAAACATTAACGAGAGAGCGGGCCACCTTCTGCAACCCTCCTCACCACTCCTCTAATATCTAAAACCAAGGTGGATCCCAGGAACGCTCAACAAACAGGCGCCATGGGCTACCAGAATACGCACACCGGGAGCACGCCCGCCCCGTCGCCCTTCACGTTCGTCCCAGCGAAAAACAAATGAATTGACTCGTGGCTTTGTTTGGGCGGACAGGAGAGGGTACGCGTACGTACACCATCACGCAAGCACTCCAAAAGCACACGCCCTGTCTAGCTAGCTGCTTGTCTGTCCTGCACCCAAGAAACAATTTCAGGTTTGTCCCTCCTTCGATAAATCCAATTTCTTGGAAAAAAAAAACATCTAGACAGGGAGACACTTCTAAGGACAGAGAGCACTTGGCCTCTGTGATTGATTGCAATCGACATGCTTGCAGCTTAACGTCCACCGGACACCACACATCAACGCTCTCTCCTCTCCTCTTCTCTATCATTCTTCCGTCAGGCCATGGGTCAAAATGTGCAACAACACAAACAACAAAGGTCCGTTGTTGCGCTCCGGTTACAGCCGACGAGCTGCGTACCGCAAAGCCAACATATCAAACGCAAAAAACTTCCTCTGGCACGCCAACAACTACTCACGGCATGTTCGACGATACACTCATTCTTCCATAAGAGATCACAAGTTGCGACCCGCCCCTCACCCCGCAACAAATTCACTCACGGTACATATGCCCGCAACATAAATTCACACACAGAATGCTCGAAGAAATACCCATTCTCCCTTAATAAGCACCGGTTGCGACCCCCCATGCTCCCCCCCTACCCGGCAACAATAATGACAACGGCCCCAAAAACTATGCTACTCGACAGAATCGCATCGTACAAACTTGGGGGCGACGCAAGGCAAACATACTGATCTCGCGCGCGAAGCGCCTTCCTGACGCCTTCTCTCCTTCCTCCCGAAGGAGGGTCTACCATCCAACGGCCCCGGCAAAACTCGAAAGAGGAGAGTCTTCCAAAAACACCATTCAGTCGTGCCTTTGGAAGTCGAAGAAGAACGCCTAAAAACAACAACAACGACACACACGTCCCTCGTTGCTTTCATCTCTATTCAGCCCACCACAGACAGACACCGAAAACTAGCCGCCGCCCGTTGCGCCACATTTTTGGGGTCCTCGACCTCTACTACTCGAACTCTACAAACGGTTAAACATGTAATAAACGGAACAGCAGTTTTTCTATGATCACGCCTTGTGCTCTAGCGTGGATCGCCTTCTCCGGCGTCCAAACAATGGATTCATCCGTAAGTCTAGAACGCGCGCACACCATGCAATCGCAGTTTCTTCCACACCAATCTTCCCCAAAACAAAACATTAAGTCGAGCTATCCAATCCCCACACCAATGGAAGTCTAAGGTACCTCTAACACGATGAAAATGCTACAACAATCATTATGATACCCTCTAACAACTCCCAAACATTCAACACTCAACCCCAAGATTCGTCAGGCGGCATCAAAATCACCGACTTTTAAGTCAGCACTATTGGACGGGCTTGGGTCAACGACTTATTGCCGGGACACTGCTGCACCGCGTGAGCGACTGCTGTAGAATCGAAAATACAAACAGCCTAGATATAAATAGCATGAAACCTAAAGCAGAACATGCACTTGACCAACTCGAGGGGGGCGTCTATGCTTGTTTACGTCTAGCCTCCCCCCCCCCGCCCCCCGCCCCCCCCCCTTGAAAGATGCCCCCTGGGGTCCAACACCCTCGGCAGAAATCGCAACGACAAAAAATACACCTATCGAAGCGTGCGCAGCTTTCCATCATCGATTCCTCCAGCCTTGCTCCATGCTGCTTGGGTGCTTACACCAACAGAGCACCCCGGTGGAGCCGTATCATAATTGCCATCTCTGAACGGCTGCCGGGACTCAATTACCCCACGCAGAGGCCCCGCTGGGGGGTCTGTCCTTGGTCTAGGCACAGACAGTTCTTGATTGGGTCCCATCCCGTCTCCATCCCTCTCAAAAGAACGATTCAACCGCTGTGCGTTGCCTGGGCAACGCAAGCTGGCACCGCCTGTGCTGGCGGCGCCTTCCCAACCACATCATGCCGTCCGCTTCGCGGCGTCGGCGGCCCAGGCTACCACCGCGGACCGGCACATCTCTGTCAGGAAGGACACTGGTTGCTCACTGCCCACTCGAACACGTCCATCGCCCCGACCTCCGCCGCGGCGTCCAGCACCCGCGAGTCCCACGGGCAGCCCTTGAGCCGCAGCCACTTGAGGGTCTCGAGGTCCGAGTTCCTCGCGGCCGCGGCGCAAGTCCGGCGGTCCCAGGGGCAACCCTCCTCGAACAGGAAACAAAGCATCTCCTGGTTGCCCACGCCCGCGGCAGCCCTGCGCGGTGACGGAACGCGGGACACGGAACGTGGAACGCGGAACGTGAACGCGGACACGTGGAATGAGGAACGCGGAAACGAGGAACACGGCACATGGAACGTGGAAACGCCGAACGCGGAACGTGCAACAGCAGTGGACTCACATCACATCACATCACATCACATCACAGTTTTGTGCATTCGGGGACAAAATGAAAAAAACGACGAGTCATAATTTTAAATCACAAATTACGAAAAAATAGAGGGGCGAGAACGTCTAACCAACCTCCCCGCGTTCACCTGAACGTCGCGGAGGCCCAACTGCAGCCGTTCTTGCGGCACCACTTGAGGATCTCCAGGTGACCTCCCCTCGCGGCTAGCGTGCAGGTCGCCTCAGTCCACGGACACCCCTCCCCCCTGGCGTACATAAGGACGTCAAAGTGTCCGCCCTCGGCCGCGTTGCCGCACGTCCCCGCCCCCCACTTGCACCCGTGCTTTCTCAGCCACTTCAAAACCTTGGTTATACGAACAATGCAGGGTTGTTGTTTCTGTGGTTGCGGATATTGTTTTGTTGTTGTTGTTGCTGCGCCGTAAGAGAATGAGAGACGGCACCCCCCTCAGACCGACTATCAAAACTCCGTTGCTCCACAACCAAGGACAAAATCAATTGATACGATTTCGAATTGTGACCGTCGAATCGGTCGAGAGGGGGGGTGTTATCTTACGCGACCTACGGTGCCAGAAGAGGGCGAAAATAGACAAAACTCCATTCTCCAGCGTCCCTGGAGCCACAATCATTAAAGTGCACACCCCCGGTGCCGATCTTCGAAGCTCGACTACTCCACGACGAAGGGGATATCTCAACCAAACGATGTATTGTCGGAAATCTCTCGACGAGACGGTCCCAACCCCGCCATTTTTTGTGCCGACACTCTTGCGGCTCTAGAGCAATCGTTGCTTTGAGGATCCGGTGCAGGGGGTGTGCTATCTCACGTCACCTACGGCATGTATCACGCCGCAACATGATCAATCCACCAGCCCTGGGAGAAAAGCAGAACGACCCACACGACGTACAAAAGAGGCGGAAAGATTGCCCTCATCCTACTGTAGACCGGCATTGGAAGCTCGATTACTCCAAAACCAAGGGGGGGGGGG